GTGTCTTCACCGTGATGAAAGTATTGCACCACCTAAGAATGTGACACAAAACTCGGTTTAAACAGAAGTACGATGGACATCTAGAGTTTTATACTTCGGCAAGAAAACTGGTTACTCTGGTGAGTCGGTAGTTTACATATTTTTGTAAGGTACGGTTATATGACACCCTATTGATAGTGGTTCTACGATTGCATTTTGGAAATACCTTTCGTTTCCCAAATACTATACTCTTTGGGAGAACCAACTGTGATGAAAATCGGAGTGTTGCACGAGTTTGGTCAATACCTGTAATGTGGGCCAAGTTTTTTCGATTATCCCCAACTAACAGTTTTCTTTTGACTGGCACTGGTCGTTGAGCTAGCCATCCGAACTTGATGGTGTTGGTGGAATTGTTATATCTCTGAATAGGAGATCAATATGATTAATATATTTTGCTCTGGAGTGCACAATGTGTCAAGTAACTCAGCTGACAGCAGTACTACAGTGTTGAATCAATAAAGTAGAGGACATTGTTATAGGCTGCGCTGGGTGATAAATAAACTTTAATGTCTCATGATCCATCACAATAGGTAATTATTGTCCGAATAAGTAGTTTCTTAAGCATCTCAGATTCCAATAGACTGCAAGACCTTTGTGTCTGCGAATAACCTTGTTCGGTATTCTTCAAGCGTATGTAAATACAAAAAAAACACTCTTCCATCCTACTTAGGGATCACACCGACTCCAGTGGGTGATGCACCATCAATTACAGTAGAGTGATCTGTGAATGAGAATAGCTTAGGTACCACATTCAACCGCAGATAACATAATAGATTGCGTGATGTCTTATCGTGTACGTGATTCCTTGGAAAATTTTCCTTTGAGAGCATGTCAAGCAGACAACCTGCTTGTTGCAAAACCTTTGGAATGAATCTGGACTGATATTGCAACGCATCCACAATTGAATAGTGTTTATGAATGTTTTCGGAGGGAGTACCTCTACACGTGGTGTTAGTCTCTTTGGAAGCCCCTTTGGCATTATTGGTTAATTCACTAACATCATTAACTTTTTCATTGGGAGTGATGAACTCATCAGATTGGATAAGCCGCTTTAACAAACAACAGAGGCGAGCATTAACGTACTACTCCACTTTGACCGTATACAATGACGTCATCTTGGTAAGACTCGAACAAATCTAGACCCTAAGCTATATGATTGAGAGATTACTCAACTATTGCAGGTGACACATTCAACCCAGAAGGAAGAAAATGACACTTGTATCAACCAAACGGTATATTTTTTAACTATAAGCTCAATAGTTTTTTTCTAAAAGAATTTGACGGTAGGCGTCTTTCAGGTTGACCTTGGAAAATACCGTTGATCCCCAAAGGTGATTCAGGTTATTCTTTGTTGCATGTGTTGAAGAAGCTTCTTATTCAGCGTCAATCGATATTCTTTGTATATCCTTAGCGATCTATCATCATATTTTAAAGATGTCATAAATGGTGTTACACACCCAATAAATTCGGCAAGTGTTATTGTAACTTTATCACATAGACTGCAAGGCAAAGTAAACAGGTTCAAGAAATCCAAATGGAATCATTCTCAGCCTGAGAAACATCGGATAACTTGATACCCCGAGCGTTTTGCCTGGTATACGCTGGCTAGAAATAAACGAGAAACAAAACGTTCCTATTCCGAACCACTAGCAAGAGTGTCCAGTCACCATCAGCACCACTGCCACCACCGCCATAAACATCGTCAACCACCACAAGAGTTGTGTATATATGTACTATTTCAAAATAACAGACCGCTCCAACTGCTGAAATTCATAGGAAGATGCTGTTTTATGTGTCATTCAATCCATCCTTTTTGTGGTGAACTCTTATCATTATTTTCACCTCCTCAGGTGCCAACACCTTGGCATTTATTTATGATGCAACTAAATCTTTTTTTTATTTCGCATTGGCTTATCGTGCCATATTTGTCAATCGGGAATGGGAAGCGAACACAGTGCCACTTTGGCCAAGATACAATGACATCCAAAGCTGTGCACGTGGTGTTTCTAATGACCGCACGACACCTGACCATCCATCCAACCATTCAATAGACCACGGCATCAAATGCATCTGCCTCACCTTCTTTGGCCTTCTCAAGTGACCGCACAGAATAACCGAACAGTGATCACCAAGTTAATTGTATATGTTCAATTAGTCTGATCTTTCGTTTGACGTATTGCGCAAATGAGAATAAATTATTGTATGCTAATATGTCTATCAGTTAGGCAAGCTGCTTCACACCATGGAGAAACGATCCCGAATCTGTCACACAAAGGGGAAGGCTCAAACCTAGTGTGATGCTGTTTTTGCGCATCTGGTGCAGTGTCACTCGACGTAAATCTGTCATATCCCATCACGAAATTTGGCACAATTAAATATGTGCCACTGTAATTCGCAAATGGAACACACATTCACGTATTGTGTCATCCAACTTGTTGAAACAGAACTGTCACACACACACACATTCGCTAGAATGTGAAGCTCATGAACAGATAGTACACGAGAATTCGAAATCTGTCAAAAACGAAGTCAGTGAAGTGCGTCAAAAAAAAACGTGAATTCTTGATACGAAAATATAAAATATCAAAACTAGCATAACATCTCCGAATTCCCATTAAATCAAACAGAATCAGATCACAGATCTTATCACAGTTACCAGCGAGACAAGTTGAATCACAATGAAATCAAATTCGGAATCACAAGTTGAGCAGTTCAAAATGCTGCATGAAATTTGTAATTCGAATTTGGAAGGTCTGGTTGATGCATGAGAGCTGTCCGAGCTGCGACGAGCAGTTTAAAGGCTTCTTCACTTCCAGGTGCGAAATTCTTATCAGGATGCACCGTGAATGCCAATTTTCGATAGGCTCGATTGATTTCGTCCCTAAAATGAAAAGGTGGCATAAAGTAAAAGGATGAAGAAAATCCGAAGGTTAGAGATAGTTGAATGATGCTTATTTCTATTTATCTCTACCGTTCAATCACTGTCAAATCAATTTGGTCAGTAGTGGTGGCATGATTTGGTGGTTTGGAGGTCAGAAAAACGCGACCGCTCAATAGATCACAAATTTTACGATGATTGTAGCGAGAAAAGCCTGAAATGGATTTATCTCAGTGAATCACTGGACCACATAGTGTGATCAAATATTTTTCACTTGTGCGCCCTTAAAATAGTTTCAGTTTCAGTTTAAACAATCATTAGATATGAATTTTTGGTTGGAATATTGAAAGCAGTGGTGACTTTGCTGTCGTCCGGTTCAGTATTACGCCTCAACTATCGGGGCCTTGTGTGGTTCACCACTCCAAGTCCCGGGGATTAGGTTACCGGTTTCTATCACTGAACAGCAGGTCCTTATGACTATGGGGTTTGCCCCGACTGCTCTTCATCCCACGAAAGTGTGTAATGAAAAGTTAAAAAGAGAAAAGCAGAAACGTTAGTTATCCCATGGTTCCCAGGAAATTGAGTAGATACACCAGCACGGCTGTCTACCGTATGCCACTCATTTTATCTAACCCTCGGTTTTCATCCTAAAGATCTAATGCAATCCATTTGATTGAGTCTCTGTACCAGGGTTTTCTTCTGGATTTTCTATAGTTCTATGAAACTGTTCACAATGCAAAGACATGTTTCGATTTTGGAATCATTTCGAACCTTCATCCCTCCAGCAACTTATTTAATGATTGATCGGAGATTTACTTTTATATATCGGTTGATAACTATTAAATTTTGCTGTGCAGTGTCATTTTTGAACGGCTCCTGAAGCACTGAATTATGGCAAACAAAAGCTGACCAATTCTTTCAAAAGATATCCACATATCACCGTTCCCACACTTTATAGGATTTTAGTTTAGACTTGGAAAATCAATTATCTATCAAAGTTTTCAATATTTGCGTCGCTAGTCATTTTATATTCCATTCTACTGACTAAATTTAAGCCCATAAACTAGTTAGTGTGAAAAGCTGAAATGGGTAACCTCCATCCGTTATCACAAAGACCTGCAAATGTCAACATTCGTTACAATTATTTTACCGCCAGTCCGAGTGTCAAACTCGTAGCGAAAGCACGCATTCGGGGCGAGTGAAAAAGTAGACGAGTGAAACTTTGTGTTTTTGAACTTTTATTTACGACAAATCTTATTTATCATTTTGTAGAACTGACATGAGTTCGGTTGGTAACATATTCCCATCAGGATTATGTGAATAAGTTGTGCAAAGCTGAAAGCTTACGTTTTTATTAGCCAAGCCAAACAACTGTAGCTACGCATGTTATAGATTATTGTCTGAAATGACACTAACATATATTGAATTAGGTCAAACATTTAGGTGTGACAGAGAGCAAATAAAATATACCACAGCAAATGGAGATGAATGACTATCGTCAGACCGGTAAAATATTTACGAGTCAGTAAAATATCGTTTCTTCGGGCACTGAATCCATGTTGAGATTGGTAATAGTGAATGGTAAGTTCAATATCTTCTCCTCTGGCTGTACAAAAGACTAAAACAATCCACAAGCCTTAGCTGTCTTCAGAATTCATAATCCACTCAGCAAATAAGGTGCCCAATTGGGTTTTGTAGCATTTTTGATCAAAGCTGAGAAGTATGCGACTTGTACGATATTACCCTCCTTGGAAAAAGATTTATACCCAGATTGAATACAAGAAGAGGCAGAACTTTCATGTTTCTAGTCCCATCAAGGACAGGTGGGATGCACTGCTAAAAAGTTCCAATAGATGTTCATTACCGTTTAATGGGCATCAACCAAACGTTCCCTTCCCAAGTACATTCTGAAATAGCAAAGCAGGTGACTACGAATCTTCTAAGAAATGAATTCTAGATGACGACATGCAATGCAATCATATACCATGTCTGGTACCGGCAAAAATAGGTTAAGTCAACCTACTTGTCACAAATATAGCCACAGAGTGTTGAAAAGACAATGACAAATAACAGGTGAAAATGCGATACATAGTAAAAGTCATTAGATACTCGACTACCACTGTTTACCGTTCTCAGCCACCTCGTCTGCTGATTCCAACACTCAATGAGGCCGATCATATGAACTCCTAACTCAAATTTTAATACCAAGCCCACTGGTTAAAATCTCTATTCGTGTACGACAGGTCAGGGTCTGACCGCCATGGCATTCCTTGGATCTCGGCTGACTTCAGAAAGCATCGCACTCTGAGGAAGTTCTTGCCATGTATGCATTATATGCTCCAATCATTGCAATCGGTGATAATTGAACTGTCGGGTGAGTGCGCAACCGCCACCAACCGCGTCGTTTCGGATGGTATACCACCTGCGAGTACATCTAGGTCATTATGGACGAACGATAACAAAGTTATTAAGGATATTACATCCATCATCATATCAAAAAGAGAATTGGAATGAGGGTTATCTTTTGAACAGACGCGAAAACCACGTCGACAGTGAACTTCACTTTGGGCATTTACGCATAATGAACGTGGAGGAAAAGTACAAATATCCAGTGCATACTTCAAATAGAGATAGAGCTGGAGTGGATTGCAACCGACTGGTTAGCAATTACGAGAGAGTTTCTATGTCCCACCATGACTCAAGTTTTGAGAATAGGTTTGGCCAGGTCCACAAACAGTCTAATGCTCTAGAAAAAAAGGTTGACAAAAAGATACCAACGAAAAGCCTCGAGACTATGCAAAACAAACGAATTTCTATGTAAATTCCATAATAAATCAAGCAATTTGGCAGATAAATATCGTAATCTCGTAGAATCCTTGAAAACCCTAGTGGACAATATAACTTTACTAGACTTGTAAACTCAGTTTATGATCGACTTGGGAAAATTATTGTCGTCGGCTGAAAAAACACAGCTGCTGTGAAATAAAAAGACAAACAATAACTTGTTACAGAGAGAGCAACGGAAGTTATAATGAATTGCTATGGTTCAAACAAACAAACACTGCATATTCCTATTGGACAACTGAGCAAATTCACAAACCGACTTCATTTGTTATCGTGTCTCCGAAGAATCAGGCCCAAAACCCACTGACATATCAGTCGTGAACTGAAAGGCACACTGATTTCCTCTGAACTGGTTGTACAACTATTTAGTTCTCATCTACTTATCATTAAATGGCTTGAACACGGTTTGCTTAGTAGTTGATGATTCAAAATTAGTTGATGATTCAAAAATATGAACATGTCGATGACCTCGAGGCTAATCGAATCCAATTCTAATCTAATATTAAATAAATGGATTGTTTTTGTAAACAAAACCGCCTGTGCATCTATGCCTATGTGTACTTTACCCGATTTTCTATACATTGACAGTGATATTATATTTTTAATTAGCTTTAATCTTTTCTCATTGGGCCACCAAATGGATAACCGGATGACAACAATCAAACCCATGGCACGTCAGTGCAACTTCTAGGGTTGTAACAGTGGAACTAACCTCGAGTTTACGGCAATACAAGTATTAACGTGTGTCTATTTAAACTTCTCGGTCAAGTTCACATCTTTGTTAAGAATTCAGATCTTTTGGAGATCGATGGAATCATGAGATGTTTCATCCATTAGCTACAGTTCGTGTCAAGCAAACGACGAATACGAAAAGCATCAAAACTCTCGGGGTCTCGAATGATGGTTATTTACTACCCTTTACAACGAATCCCACAACATCCTTGGTTGAAATGGGGATGTGTTACCGTGTACTATTTGGCTAGTAATAAAATGAGTAACCTTCATCAGTTTCTTCATTCGGTCTTTGTAGATAAAGCTGATAGTGACGAATTTGAATAGAAGACCGACTACCAAAGGACGTCGTATGCACCTGTTCCTACTACTGGTGTCTCGATAGAACTTCTTAATAAAACTGCCCAGATAACCATTCTGGGCAATAAGTGACTGGAATTCGTCTAACTTCAATTGTACGCTATCCTCAATGCATATGCGATGTGCTCGATGGAATGACTTCACATATGATGACATATGTTTCCCAGGATCGCCAAATTCGTTGTCATTGGAAGACGAAAAGCTGTATAGGTAAATTAACTGTTATTCTTCGCAGTGTTGAGAGTGTGATTATTTGACTGTGTCGTGCACAACAGATAAACTGTCTAACGATTTAGATTGTTGTTACTTGCATTATTGTACCAACTGCAATGCAAAAAAATCTGCTTCGGTAGAAATCTTGTAACCTGGTTTTGTTGTGCTCTTTCTTTCAGTTTATCTGAGGAAAAAATGTTATGATTTTCTGTGGAATTCTTTCGATGGCAACTATACACCTTTTCGATCGGCTTGAATAGCTCAGTTGCGAGGCTATGAAATAAAGTTTTCAGATTGAACTTTTAAATGATGGCATTCGATAGAACAATTCTTCAGTTACCCATTGCAAACAAAAATGATTGAATAAGTGAGGAAACTTTCGCTGATAAAACGAGTGAAACTGTATTGCCCACAGTCCGTGCATTGATTCCTGTGATACATATTTTCAGACATGTGACGAGTATAACTTTGCGTTAGGATAAATGTGAATTAATCTTTATACGACGTCACTGTACTATTTATGATAAAGCGTAGACATTATCAAGAGAGCTTCGCAAGCAATTCTATAGTACAAACATAAGATTGTCTGATCACGGTTGTAGACAGTGGAACTTACAGGCTTGCTTGATAACTAACACCCAAACGTTCCTGATGCGTTCTGGCCTGCCGGATACGGGTCACAGCCTGCAGCTGATGTGGTGTATACTGATTGGATGGCTTGTTCTCGGTGGAATTTCGATTCGTTTGTTGCTGAGGTAATGCACCCGATTCCGGAACGCTTGGTCGTTTGTACCTTTGTGATCTGTTTTGTGCACCGGCGTGTGAATCCGGCACTGCATTGGAACGACTGGCAGATGATACGGAACTGGAACCATTCATTGGCCCGACACGGGAACAACCAAATCGTTCGCATACATCTGGTTCCACAATTGATTCCAGTAGGGTCTGTACTATCCCCATGGGTTAGAAACACAAAAATATTGCGAAAATTATTCCATTTCGAACACTTCTGAAAGTTTGAGCAAGTTAGGGCCTATAAAATTTGGCATCCAACTGAAGTACATGTGACGGTCATATCCAGTAAATGGGTTGCTACTGAACTGGCCATGCAAATACTCGATCCTACTAGTGAGTTCCAATATGTAGAACCTGGTGGACGAACCTAACCTTATCTGTCCGCTATCGTACCGTCAACCAGCAAAACTTGACTGAGAGAAAATGCGTGCACCTAACGTTCTGAGAGCAAATCAGCCGATGTAATTTGCGTGTGTTTGGTTGTGTTTGCATCTGGAGTAGTATCGTGTGAACTTCGATTCACCCAGGGAAGTTATCGCTATTCGGATGACTTAGAACCCCTTTATCTTTCAAGACATATTAGATTCTATTCGGCATTTTATTTTGACTGAACCATGCAAAACTGTGTTTACACACGAGCACAGAACATTTACCAGCCCTTGACATGTCCACAATTCGAGATTTTTATAAACTCACCGTCATTACATCAGTGACACCATGCCCGGTGAGAGCAGATGTCTCAGAATAAGACAAGTTGTTGTTGGCACACCACTGAGAAGCTTCAAAATAACTGACAACTCGTTTCACTTGATCGACCTGAATAAAAAACAAGCAAATCAGTGATCGATAATTTAAATCGCAACGATCCGACATGATAAGCATATAATTTAACGGATGGGCGTCTTTTATAAAAGGTGTGATAACAAATTTGTTTCTGACGATACTGTCAACCATGAAGCGTTTTTTTTATTTTATTGATAGTTAACCAGTACTTGTTTTCATAAAACCATTCTTACAACCATAACCCGGGATACTAAATCAGCGGTATCTAAGGGTAGAGTTGATTATTACTTTGAACCTGAGGTCACCATTGATGAGTTGTGGCTCACCAAATCGAGGGACTCAATTTTCGTTAATAGGGCTCAGAAAACGGAATATTAAAAAGCGATGTTTTAAAAGCTTCGCACGACATAGCACAGAAATAGCTTCTGCTGCAGAATGAAAATAAACAGTACCGTAATGACGGTCTCCAGCACTGTGCTCGCTTCTGCAACTACAACGAATTCAGTGATCCAAATATTTCAGGAGTTACAAAACAGTTCCAGAAGAAAAAACATTCCGATCATGCTTTGTCTGGTGTGCAATTGCTTCACTTGTAGTTATCCCAGAATGTGAATATATACAAAGTGAGAAGTGGTATTAGGTGTATGTTTCTCGGAATAAAACATCACTATGTATACGGTTTTTGAATAGTAATATCTTGAACTACCCCACGGATCCAGCAAAGCAAAACTCGAAGAACATCCCGTTTAATATTCCACGTCAGGTATAAAAATGACCCAATTGCTAAACCGGTCAGAACCCTTTGACTAGGTTCCAATCCCAATGGACGTTGTGTAAATACCATTGGCTGCAAGTGACAATAAACTGGACTAGGTGGATGTTTAGCATTTTACGTCTTTCAGTTGAGGTGAGTGGAATGTGCACTTTGTGCGATGACAGAAATTGTCTCTGTATCGATCATCCTACGGTGTTTACGAGATATCTGTTAGGAATACAGTTACTCGCGATGGAGAGGAGGATTTTTCAAAGTACATTTTTGAATGCGGCTGAACTTTTGCTGAGGTGAACTGCTTTTTTCTTTGTTTGCATGATAGTCATAACAATCCCTTCTCCCTGTAGATTACGCACTCCACATCCAAAAAATGTCTGGGCGCCCACTATCCTTACTCAATGGTGTGTGGATTAGCCCTAGCACTAATAAACATTATCGTAAATTGGGAATAGTACGTTCAAAAACTTGACGCCCAATGGCATGGTGTGAGATACGTCATTTTCGTGCACAAACCTCGATGCGTGCAGTCAACTCAACACTGGGCAAGTACATCAGCTTTGATATCATGAGAGCTTATCAATAGTACATATTCACCTTCCCATTCCGAGCGTTTTAACAACGGACACATCGCATGCATAGTGTGTGCATCGCACCTGTGCTAGCAGGCTCACACAGGGGGTGATCGATTCAAGTTTGTTCACGTACCGTTTTCAATGTTGGTCAGTCAGTTCAGTGGGACCGTTAGCAATGAACGGACACAACTGGCATTTGGTTACCTCCACCCGAAAGACTCTCATCTAATCAAGACTGCCAGGCAGGTTCCGGCAATATTGGCAGAACAAAACCTAGATGGCATTCACATATGCCTAAAATTTGCGATTGATGGTATTGGGTGGTTCCTATTGATTTAAAATGATAATTCTTCAGATTTCATCTTCGCACACACACACACGAACGTTAGGGATTGGCACCGCATCAATCATATCACATTCAGTTTTATTCAGTATGAACCATGTTCTTTACATGCTTTTGAGTTAAACCATACATGGCATGTTTCATATTCGTGAGCATAAAAACGACAAGTGTACTTGCTGAGGGATAAGCTATATGCACTGGGAGTCGCCACTGGTTAGAGGGAGGTACAAACAAACTGAATCTACATATGTGGAAATTTGAGAACTAATCAATTCCTACCCGATAACACCCCATCATTTCTATTAGTTAGGACACGAGCCAGAAATAGGACAAGAAAACTCATCCACCGGGAGTTTAGACTACGAGGGGCAAAAATGAGACCCTCTTAATTCAATGTTTAACAAAAATCATGCAATAAATTTGAACGAACCTGATTTCGAGCAAACCATTTAGAGATCTACATTGAATAATGTCACCGTTGAAGGCAACTAAAAGGCAATAAGATTAAATGGGCAAAGCGAATTCGTGCACGAAGAGAGATATAATTAGGTGTAGAGTCCAGGAATTCCGAGGATTTCAAACGTTGATCAATAGATGCGCTGGCCTTCAGTAAAGTGCTTGCTTTCAGAGAATCATCGAGCATTATTTCCTATAGTGAGTACTCAATGAAATTCTCTGTTGGATTCCAGGTCAAACTGTATTACTACAATAAACATGAGACAAGATGCGTGCAGTGAGTCCGTGAATCATTTCATGCATTCATCTGTCTTTGTGACTGTTCCGAATGAAATGGGTTTCTCACTTACTCTATGAATTTTATTGACATTAAAGAGGGAGTACTATGACGCATCATCGTCCCTGTTCGCTGAGAGTATAAAGTATGGTAGAACATTTGGACTAATTTCCCCTCAGGTTCGTGCACTACATTGTT